TGACCATTCTAAGTGTGTTATAATTCAGTTGGTGTGTACATAAAAGTGATATACTGAAGCTGTGACCATTCTAAGTGTGTTATAATTCAGTTGGTGTGTACATAAAAGTGATATACTGAAGCTGTGACCATTCTAAGTGTGTTATAATTCAGTTGGTGTGTACATAAAAGTGATATACTGAAGCTGTGGCCATTCTAAGTGTGTTATAATTCAGTTGGTGTGTACATAAAAGTGATATAATATATATATATATATATATAATATATATAAGTTTCAGAAAAGCTGTGACCACTTTTAGTTTGTTGTAATTTTGTTATGTATGTAAAAGTGATGCAGTAAAGCTTCAGAAATGTCTTTTAACTTAACTATTATTTGGACTGTACTGGTTGCTATGTTGTGAAAGCAAGTTAAGTGTAATTTTGAATTAAAGAACAGTCTGTGTCTACTAATTACTTGCTCTTTGTATAATATATTTGGTGTTTTTTTTTCCTTTGATAAATGATTATAGGTGCTTGTCATTGTTAGTTTAGATGTTATCTTGAAATATTTCTAATATTTGTTCTTGTTCTAGCCTCTAGCTGATGTAGTTAAACATGTTGAAAAAGGGTATCGTATGGAAGCACCAGAGGGGTGTCCTCCTGAAGTATATGAGATTATGAGACAAGCTTGGGACTTAGATCAAGACAAGCGTCCTACATTTGCAGAAGTTTTGAAACACCTTGAACACTTACGATCTCTGACTCTTTGATATGTATTTTTTTGCACAATGTGAAAAATAGGTAATTTATTTTCATTCTTTTTTTATTATTATTCTAAAGCTAGTAAAGAAACAACTAAATTTTGAATATTATAAAGAAAACAACATGCTCAAAATGTTATATTGAAATTTGAGTAAAAGATTTATTAACCCCACATAATTGTTGATCTTGACTTCAAAAGTGTTATTAAAGTAAGAAAAAAAAAAGATTTCACATTATTGTATTTTATTTGTAATTTTTGACTGACATTTTCCTTCAAAATTAATACAAGACACTTGTTTTATAGGTAGAGTAATGATCGCAAGTGTGCTGTAACCTTTGGTTAGGTGTATGTATTTTAATATGTATATCTATAGTGCTTAGCTTGAACTCTGTTTGAACCTATTCATACAAATAGAATACGGTCATCAGAAAGATACAAATGAAAGTAAGCACGTATAAAAGAAAATGTAAGCACACTTTAAGCAAAGCCCACCATCTGCCTTGTTTAATGAACATCCCTTTGACGATAAACTATACACCTGGAAAAAAGTTAAGCACCCCCGTGTTTTTTTCAAGTGATTCAGATTCGACGTTCTTGTGACTGATTATAAATTACCATTC